ATACATTTAAATTCTTTTAATGTTATTGACTATAATAACTGTGTTAAAAATTACAATCTTTTTAACCCTAACGAAGTAAGCAAGATCAATTAAACAATGTTATACAGTATGCTCGATAACACAGTTGAAATTAGACAAATCCCCATTTCACAACACCTTTAACTGTACGTATCAATTCACCTATACTTGTAGAAGCAAATAAATAGGACGGACATAAAGAAGTGTATCTAGTCGATTTTATGAGCATATTGCGAGAAATCTGTCTCTGAAAGGTAGCGAGGTCTTTAAGAGCGCAATCACCAGGAACTTGATCAAAACAGGATATCATATAAATGTTTCTCAATCTTTGTGGATAATCAACAAACAAAGAACGCCATATTTGTTACGGCTTACGTAAGGTCTTGATATCAAATATTTTCAACTTGACCTATGTGCTCAGAAACAGACTGTAATTAACCTTTCTCTACCTTGGTAACTTTATATAATGTTTTTACATGTGTATGTGTATAGGCTCCCCTTTTTGATTGCATTATCTCCTCACTAATTACTGACTGACTGTTAAGCACTTAACGATTTTCCGGTTTTTCATGCAATTACGTAACCTACTAGCTCAGTGACCACCCGTTCTCTTACACTGTTATTTGTTGTCCCTCCACTCCACAGTTCAAAAATTTTCTGTCTCGCCAGATACGAATTGTCACTGATTTTGACCAAGATTTGTGATTATTAATCCTGTATTTCCATAACTCTACCTTATTGTTAATCCCGGATTTCGAATCCCCGCTTACATCTACATATTTAATGTATGTTATATCATTAGCACTACTAATACTTCATTTCAATTGTAGTCAATTTGCTGCTGATAAAAGGTCGTGAAATATTATGAGCTCATTGTATTCTGCAAATTTCTTTGTTTTTACATTGTTCATGATCAACTAAACTGAAGAGGATCCTAGTGAAAACATTCTATTTCTGAAGATTCTTTCATCTAAGGCTATGAAGTATTAGGCTTTCCGTGAGTGTGAGCACTGAAAACGCCTTTCCTTTTATTTGAAGAATTTCGAAGCGAGTAAATTGTGCATAATAACACTGAGTATCATTTCTGATGTTTCACTAGAGATGAATATACAGGTGGCAGGATAGACTATCATTTGTATGTTACTTAGTGTCAACTGCTAGGAAACTTTTGATCCTTTGTTCATCTTATAAGCAATAAGCGCAACAGACTGATAACACTGTTTTGTGGTTTCATTCCGAGGAATGTCAACGGTTTATGAAATCAGTTAATTTTTTTTGTAAGACTGAGGTTTTCTATGGGTACAAGTGACCGACCTTTTGAACTTCAAAACTTGAGTTGTGATACACTACTACTTCTCGTTGTAGGATTAAAGACTGCATATATGAACTGAGTCCTTTCAAACACCGAGTATTTATTTAGTTGGTTGACCGTTTATTCGGATTTTCACAAGGAACTGGCATTAAATATTCTTTAGGTTGCTTGGAAAATCTTATTCTGTAAACAACAAATCATGTGAAAATATGAGTTATTGCTTAAACATTCAGTCGTACTGCTTCAATCCTTATTTGACTAAATAAACAACAAATGCCGTCAATCTGATTTGAGTACTACTGCTGAGGTGACTCATGTCATATTCGTGAGATCACTCAGATACTCAACATTTTAGGATCTATGAATTATCACTTCTCAGGAATCTTCTCCATTTTCTTTTCAGTTATGCTGTAACAGACCCTGTTTTTGATTCATCAGATGGAAGTGTAAATTCTTTTAGTCGGACTATAGTCTGTTACAAGTCAATTAATTTAGCAGATTCATAAAGCCTCTCTAAAGTGAGGAGTAAAAGATTACATGACCCTAGTCTCGTGGTGTGAACAGAAATTAGAATGTGAAATAATGTACATAATTACCTTGAACAAACAGAATGAGTGAATTGTATTTTTAAATATGTGCTCATACGTGTACTAACCAGAAATTCTGAAAAGTATGAATATAATACAGGATATTTATCTTCCGAAAATCGCAGTTATTCCTGGTTTTAGAAAGCAAACTCACTAATGGTCAGGTAAGTGAATAGCCCAGGTGGTGCTATTGCGATTTTCTGTTAGCACTAAGCATTTTAGAGCAATATTTTACTGCTGTTTTTAAATTGAAAGAATACATGTACGTTGCATCTTCTTTTCTCATTCTTTACTAAGGGTGACTGTATCAGCAACGAAATTGAAGTAAGCAGATGTCATTTATCAACAAGATTTATGTTACTGAAGAGTTCCTTAATTCAACACTCTAGTTTTGATATCAGCAATTTAATCAATCGTCAATGATCATAGGTAGTTTGGAAGAAGCATTACTTGCTTCGTTGTCAATATTTTATGCTTATTTTCGATTCTGAGCATAATGAGTCTACTGGCTTTAGTCGGAATCTATCCCTTATGTATGCGAGTCTGCTTAGGCAGCAATCAGTGTTCCTCGAATAATAAAGCTGATATATATATATATATATATATATATATATGCATGGTTATATTGGGTGACTTTAAAGCCTACTCTATCACTTGCTGAAATAAGCTGTCAGGTTTTAGTATTTTGGTTGAAAACTTAATTTTTCATATAACAGAGAAATATGATTGGTTATCTCAGCAGTTGTTAAGGTGGTTTTTAGCTTTCTTTCTTACACAGTACTCAGAATTTGACGACACCAATAAAATCTTAGTTTAGACTGCTTACTAGTCGTGTCTGTTGCTTTTGTTCTTCGTCACTCACGTTTGGTTCTTGAATGTACATGGTCTTATTAAGCCTCCAGATGTTTTAGTAGATAAGTTCTAACAAGCATGATCCTGGGACTGAATAACTCTTACCACTTGGCCCTATACGTTGATAAGTTTGCACTCTAACTAAAGTATAAAATAAGCGTTTAGCAAAGACTAATTTTAATGGCAAATCGCAATTGTAATAGCTTTTTAGCCAGTCTTTATGAAACCTCAGGAAGAAAACACATTACTATATAAATCCTCTGAATAGAAAAGTGGAGAGAACTTTTGTATTAAGTCCAATATATTGTGTTGTTACAGAAATAATGATCAGTTTCAAAGGCAGTAACACTTTTAGAATAGAAATTCTAGGTAAGAGGGTTGGGAACCACATACGCTGAAGAGAGAAACAGCAGTTCAGCTAGCTTCTAGGTTGACCTATAAAAATAACAAGTAATAGAAACTAATATTTTGGTCTATCATCCATTTAGATGGTTGTTTTCACATTGAATCGAGATTTGCAGCATAAATCAGAAGATTTCTGACTGCTGTATGAGAAACTTGTGAATGAAAATAAGTATGGAATTATGAGTCATTTCTCACCAGTTACAATGTTCATGTTAATATTGAATTATAGATTTTAAATTGACTGGGTAAAATATGCTACTGGGACATCAAGACTTTAAAAAACATACGGTGTCATACACATATTCAGTAGTAGATTCTAGTGTTTAGTCAAATTATCGAATTCATTTCCGGGTTTGTGCTGATTTATTGATTCCAAGTTGATATTTATCATGGACTGACATCAGTTGGAAAAACATTTGAAACCTGAGAGCATTGAACAGCTGTTTCGTTCTAATTTGGGACTCGTTAGCAGTACGCACACATGACCCAGCCAAGGATCAGAACCAAGACCTCCAGGTTCCGTGGCCAGCACGTTGCCAGTAAACCACTAGGTAGGAATTCAGTTGTCCATATTTTCAATTTCTATCAGTTCACGATATAGTCTGATCATCACTCAGTGTTACTGTTGAGTAATTTTCCTCACGTCTACCATGTTTGCCCCACTGTTCACAACTTCTCATTGTAAATTCAGGAATCACCTCCTGAAGCTAGTCACTGTTGACAAGCCCCGTATCAAGACGAAGCAAGTGACAAGTGCTCCCAGGTTTCTAGTGTTCCTCCAACTGATGTCAGTCCATGATGAATACCAACTTGAAAGCAGTAACTCCCACATACCTCAAACTGAGTTAATCTGGGGCTCAATGGTGACCAGCTTCCAGAAGTGATTCCTGAAGTTCTACTGAGAAGTTGTGACAGGTGGGGAAAACCTGGTGGCCATGAGGATAAATACCCAAAGGTGAAATTGGGTGATGGTCGCTCTATGTCGTGAACTGACAAAATTTGGAAATATTAACCAGTGGATTTCGACCCAGTGGCTCGATGGTAACGTGCTGGTCACGGAACCAGGAGATCCTGGGTTAGATCCCTGGCTGGTAGGATCGTGCGTGTGCACTACTGACGAGTCCCAAAGTAGGGCGAAACAGCTGTCCAGTGCTCCGGGGTTTCCAATGTTTCTCCAACTGGTGTCATCCCATGATGAGTACCAACTTCGAATTATTAAAGGAAGGCCAACACCTGACGAAGTTATGAATAAATAAAACCAACCTTTGAGAAAATATCAACTGAGAATCGTAATGCTTTCAGTCATTTTCTGTTAATCAGAACAAGACTCAGAAGTGAAGATGGATGACAGATCTTGGTTTAGTTTTATGTAGATGTTTTATGCAAAATAACGTAGACAGCTTCAGAAAAACGTCAGGAATCTGAAAGTTTGTATGTTTTTCTCTGGGCATATAAACGACCAATTCTTTAACCTTGAAGTTGATATTTTGAAAAAACGTCAATTCTAGTGGACGTTTCAACATGATGAAAGGATTTCTATGCTACAGTTTTACACAATTATCAGTTAAATGAAGAGTTAAGGAGGTCTTAGAGAGAAATAGTCTAGTTACGCTATAGATATTAATTACATTTCTCTACAGAGTAAATCTAGTAGTGTCGTCAACTTTTAGAAATCGGAAGATCACATCTCTGCATGTGTAAACAAGCAAACAATGTACAATTTGATCTACTGTAAATAATGATGATGGTGTGTTAGCATTATTAACATCTCAAGAAAAATATTCATGTGGTAATTTTAAACATATTAGCCTTTAAATGTAAGCAATAATGCCTTACTTTACGCATTAACATGTCAACAATTACCTTTATTCGCAAAAACAAAAAAGAATATGCGTATAAAAGTGAAAAGAACTTACTCCATAGATTAGCTTACTAAAGCTTCGGTACACGATATTCATTACTCTAAGAATACTCAATTATGAATCGCTTATTCTGGGCTGGTGTTGGATGCACACTTTTATTGTCTATTATCTGTAGTTTTAACATATGTGAGTGAACTAAATGAGATTTTTATCATATGCAAATAATATTTTAATACACTAGTAAAAATTTCTGCATAACTATGGTTAAAATTAGGTTTTGTTTTAGTCAATTAGTCAATCTACAACTGATGAAATTACTCCTGAGTTCAAATAGGGGGAAGTTGTTAACATTGTAACTGACATTCATAAAAGTTTGAGTTTGAGACTTTTACTAAGTGAGTAGAAAAAGAACTGTAGGAATTTTGATTTAAATGGGAGAACGACTGAAGCATATATATTCAAAGAAATTTTCATTATCTGATTAATAGAATACATTAAAAATGAATATTAATATAGGAGTAAAACTTAGGCACTGTAGTAGGATCTAATTTCACTTTAGTTTTTTTGATAAGAATTGTGACACAGTGAAACAGTACTGTTTACTGGATAACGTTTTCGACATAATCTACTGTCCATAATCATATCAGATAACTTGATAACTTTGAAATGAGGTTTATATATTTCTAGTCATCTCTCCTTCTTCGTGATAAGGGTGGAAGTATTTTACATATATCTGGAACAGATACAGAATCATTTCTATTGCATGTATTTAGTGTTGATTTGATCAACAGAGATTCAGTTATCAATCTCTCCCTCCACATGGCTTGGCTAGCTTTTAATACTATAGCTCTATCCCACCATAACGTGTGATTGTGTACAATTAAGAACATATCTTCGGATGAGGTTTTTTCTACCATCTTTATCTTATTAATATCTACTAATCTTGATTTGTACTGGGTGGTAATTGAAGGTGAGATGAAAATCCGGCTGCGGTCTGGATTTTCATTTCACCTTCAGTCATCACCCAGCCTAAATACTAGTCTGCCAAGCTACGGCTATCTCAGACAGTCAAGTGATAATCCTGATTTAGCTAAGGTTTTGTGCTCTTAATTAGAACAATCGGTCCTGGTTGACTACTGTGATCTTGCCATCATTGCAAGCGATTGGGTAAACTAAATTGTTTTGCTCATCTGGGTCAAGAGGATCTTTTAACCCACAAAGCTTGTTTTTAAACGAGTTTGTTGGTTTAAATGCCACTGTAATCCTAGCCTCATTGAGAATTCTTCGTAACGCTTCTGAGGTGCCTTCTTTGTATGATAAAATAGTGCAGGCTTTGAATTCCTTCTCAGCCCTGTCACGATTATTACTATCATTATCACTATTATTAGTAGAACTATTATTAACACCTGTGTCACTATTACTACTAGTCATATTTTTCTTTCGATTTCTTGTGGGTTTATTGATACATTTAGGTGGGTAATTATTGAGACAAAAGATATTTTCGATGTCTAATTTTTTGCCTCATATTTTCTGTCAAGGTAGTAATCATTTTTACCCTGTTACTGAGACATTTAACTCAGTCTGCTTTAACTGAGATAAACTGAGATTATTTGGAGTCTAATTAACGAGTCGAATGGGAAGGTTTCCTATTGACAATCGTCTCTAAACTTCTATCCTGTTCTTGTTCAGTCTTGCAGTCCAACATTACTGGCTCACCTTTATCACTTTCTAAGTCATAGGTAGATTGACTGTCGTTCACTACTGAATTTTGTTTCAAGAACCTATTGATGTGTTCAGATTTCAATACTATAAATGCATTGTTTACATATCGGAACCATATCTTTGGAGTAGGAATCAACGTTTGAAGGGCTATCCATTACCAACTATCTATAAATGTGTCTGAGACGATAGGGGATGTCGGTAATCTCATAGCAATCCCTTCAGTTTGTTGAAATATTTTATTTTGAAGCTTGAAACTGTAGACGCCAAGCACAATCACACTTCCCGCATTATCTCCTCAATCGACACCCTAGTTCGATGAGTAAGCTCATTCGACATTTGATATTAGCTAACTTCTGGAAGCTAGTGTTTGCAACTTCTTAGTCTTTCATATAGCAGTAACATCACAAATGTTATTACACGTTCCACTTTGATACCTACGATATTTATGAATAATAACCTGGTTGGTAATTTCTAATCCAAAGAAAATTAAATTCTCATCTATGCATATCCTGCAGTAAGAAATTCTATACTGGGAGGCGACAATTTCCCATTACTGTTATTTCTCAGTTGTTATCAGTATACAAATTATTACTGAAAGAAAATATCCTGCATTATAACCAGTCGAATTTGCTAACACCATTAACAAATCCTGCTTTTAAGTCTGCAGTTTGGCAATGAGAAGACAAACCTGTAAACCTATCAGATGTGATCCTAGTGTACACCTAACTACAGTAAAAGTGGTTAGCACGAGTCACTTCTGTCTGTTACTCGTCATACTATCACATTTTTATTGCATCTTCCCTCTTCTATTACCTCCTACTAGTAACAAAATAGCAAACATGCTTGTAATCAGGCAATAAATCAATGAATTCAATCTAAATTTGTTAATAGCTATGACAGAATGATTAAAGTAAATTGATGGAGTGGACTGCTATCGGCATTGATACTCCAAAAGACTTTCTAATAGGAAGCAATGATGTTGACCAGTTTGAAACATTACCGCTGCTAATAATGGAGAGATTTGAAACTGATTAATCCCATATACATACTTTTAACCCCTGTAATACTGTGCATATTGCTGAAGTGAAAACATTATCTTTAGTGGGGATAAAAACGTGGGGAAATTCGTAAGATACTTCTAATGTCAGGGAGAAATACTAAATCAGTCTCAGGGATGTAAGTATAATATTTATGGTTCTTTTGGAGATTTATAGTATATTCATTTCGTGCTAATAACGATTGGTGAAGAAGGACTAAACACTAAGCTAACTGTTGGTGTAAAATAATTGGAACTTAATTATAATACAATCTGATATGTTTCTATTTATACAGGAATCCTCACACAGTTTTTATAGCACCACAGTGTTCATGGTCTCCTAGAACGATGTTAACTACACTCATTTCAAATCTTTTTGGTATCAGAAATGATTTTTAGTGACTTTAGAGCATATGATATATTAGTATGAATTCACTACCTTCCACGAATTCTGTTACTCTTGTCTTACCAATATTTGTGAAGGGAAATAACCATATGCAATGATGAATCTAGTAAGCATTATATTATATTTATTAGAAAAGGGCACAGTATGACATATCTATCAATTAATGAGGAACGTGTACTCACAAAGTACCTTCTAGTTTGCATTGTATAGAAGACTCTTATGTCAACTTATTTATTATAAGCACATAACATTTTAAGTGTTGACCAACACAATCTACTTAGTGTGAAAACCATTTTCTTTGGTGACTATATAAGTGGAAGAACGGTTTGCAAACTACCGTTAAAATCCTCTAAAGTGGACTGCGTGTTGAAGCTACTATAGAAATTTCTTCAAGGTTTAAAAATGTACAGAGTTGATAAGGGAAAGTTAAGAATACATTAGGAATACATCAGTTGGACTAACTGAATTAAAAGTATTCAGTAATGAATTGGAGAATTTTAGGTGTAAAAGATTAAATTATTTTACGCTAACCAGGAGTTATATCTAATGCTTACCATTTTAACATGACATATGTACCTAACAAAGTATAAATCATAAACGAGATGTCTTCCTGGTTCTTATTTGCATGGTTTTCAGGATTGATAAGGAAATTCTTGCATCGTAATTGTTAAGTTTATGGATGTATCATGGATGGCCTTTGGTCTATAGTATTGAATAATGATGTGAGATGGTCACAGGGATGTACAGCATCGATTCCATTCAGTGCATTAGGCAGCCCATGTGAAATATGTTTATGATAGTGAGCAAGAACTCTGCTTTAAGTATTGGACAGGAGAGTATGCTTCAAGTCATAGCCATCATCATGGAGGACATTCATGGGAGATTTAATATTAAGTACCTAGGTCCATAATTCGTGAGGGGTGGTGCAATTTATCATCGACACTTCTGGATTGTGTAAGCATGCCTTACATCAGATATGATGATTAGACTGTACGCTACTACTTCAAACAAAATATCAAGTGAGGGCAAACATCTTAAGTTCTCAAAATGTGGTTGTGTGGGATGAAAGCTGCCAACCGGATAACTGATTTCTATGCTAAACTTTCATAAGGTGACACTATCTTCAGAAAGTATATTTCAGGGTTTTACATATGAACTCTTACGTGTAGAGTGTGAAGTGAATTAAAATTCCGGTCACTGCGTGGGGCTTAAGAAGTTCGAACAAAGTCACACCATTCAATGACTGATAAGAACATGCGAATAAACAATAAATGCAAAAACTAGATATGCACCTGATGAGTGCATGATGTAATTCTTTCCACTGAGATGTAAATGCCTTAAGAACCTCATAATTTGGTTTACATAGTCATATGCGTCTTGACAGAAAATGGTCACACAAAACCTCTTGACCTTTCTGGTTTCATAAATTGCATTATGCAGACTATACTAAAGACAACCGAGAAGGTCAACTTGTATTCTTGTTTTCTTTTCACTTTGTGAAAACTTTTTTGAAATGTAAACTGTTAGCCAAATAATCGTGGTTACGCTCACATTTGTTTGTACTATCAAGTGTTTCACAGAACAAACATTAATCAGTTCTTCGTTATAAGGGATAAACCTTACTGCATCCACCATTTTGAAAGGATATTTTTAATATGAAACTCCTAAAATGTCACATCATCTCATTAACTATCAGGACAGAATATTAGAACATGTCAGAAATGATAAATCCTTGTAGAACACAAGTTATACTTGCAAAATACTTCAGAAGCCGATTTCCATTCATCAAGGCATAAAATACAAACGAAGAGGTTTTATTTCCAATTTCGTAGAGAAAAATCCCTTTCCTTTGATCGTAATGGATGTCTTTCGTATACTTTCATGTAAGTTTCAACTATTTGCAGTTGTTGTTGCAATAGGAACTAATGAAAGTGGATTATATAACAACAATGAGTTTATCTTGCTGAATCCTGCAAAATTTAGTGATAAAACCGTTATCGAAGTGAATAATTTATCAGAGAGTCATTGCTAATTGAAAAAAATTTACTTTAAGGTAAAAATCAAAGTAAACAATGAATAGGAAAAAGTGGTATTTAATAAATTGTGGAAATTCAGTAGAACTTGTTAACTGAATACCCTACATACTTGATTGCATATACCATCAGACAGTCTACTGATAATCGTTTTGGACTTCGAAGCATCAGTGTCATTTCCACAGTTCGTTGTCGAGGTTCTCAAAGTTTCCTTTTCTGAATACCCCAGTCATTTAGATGAGTTTTCTATCATTCGGGCAGATAAACACCCCTTTATACGACATGTACTTTCACTTCCGCAGACACTTTCGAAATGATACATGCATTTAGAAGTTTGGGGATCAAGGGCATGTCTCCCGTTGATTGATGCAGTACATGTTTGGTGGTAGTGAAGAATGTGAGCTTGGAAGCGTAATCGGTGCTTCTAACGGACTATTCTTATCTTCGCATAACTGCCTCTAGTATCATAGTGACATAAAACTGGCTTTCAGAGTATGTTAAGGATATTGTTTTATTTCCTATGCAAATCGCATACTCGTTAGAAAAGCTTTCTGGATATCCACCCTTCACTAGAAGGTTTTTCATGGTTCTTATTTCATAATTAATCGCGTTTCCGAGAAGATTTTTCTTGCTTTCTGACAACATCCCTTTCAGTTGCATCTTGACATAGATCTTAGAATGGAGGAACTGTCCTGTTCATGATGGTTTTCTACTAGATCCACTGATTCTCTTCAATAGACAAATATCCAAGAATCTAATCATATCATTCTCTTTATGCCCTATTGTGAAACTCAGGTTTCGATGGCATAAATGGTAACTCTGAACATTTCTGTTCTTTCCTAATTACTCTTTACATACAATTATTAAGCCTAACTTATCGTTCCTGTATTTCTCCGTGATCTATTTCGGTTAGTTACAATTATTTCTGTTACCTTTGTTTTGATCAATACACCTCGTTTTCTCATAATACTTTGCCGTACAGTGTTATCAAACTTCTGAATTAGCTACTATATATCCTGTTCTGATTGATGCATTCTATCTTTAACTTAGTTTTTAATCCAATGTCAACACTTTTATTATTATTATAGTTACTGTTAATATTAATGTTATCATTATTTTTCACCAGAAATTTACATGGTTCTTTAGCTCGTACTATTATCCAACTTCATTCTTGATTATTATCTGCCTTATGTATATCAGGTGTGAAAAGTATGCAACTGGACTGGTGAATTCATCATATTTTCTCATTCCTTACTTACTTGTTTAATATAAATGATCTCGTTATGGGCTAAGTGTCTAGAAGATCAAGTCAAATTTGCCAATAATTAGAAATTATGGTTTCACACCATCGATACCCTGATTTCTGCATATGCTGGTACTTATCTACGATACAAGCCATTTTAATTTCACTATAAATATATAGATTCTTCACTGTTGAATTCAATAAAACATTTAAGTTCTGTTGGTACAGTGAATTTTCAGTTGTGATTAAATTCCTTTCAATGCATATCTGTATGATTTACGCATTTTGAACGAATACTGAAACTTTTGTTGGTGTGTCATTTTCTCTTATTTTTTTAGTGAATGCTGCTCCAAACGAAAAGTAAGCGAGTACTTAGGCAAATGGTAGTAATATTATATATATATATATATGTATATGTATATGTATATATATATATATATATATATATATATAATATACTTTCGTGATAGCTGACATGGAATGCAAATACTGAGATTCAGACAGCCCATAGACACACTTTCCAATACATAACTTATTTGTTTCAAAATGTCAAGATTTTACAGTGGATGACATCATAAGAGTTGATAAATCACATGTTTCCCACCGTCAATATTTCTTGCCTCATAAAAGCAGAAAATATGCATAATATACAAATCACTAAGCGTGGACTTGTTTTCAAAGATCAAATATTATCCATTAAAACATTTATTTCACCATCACATTGACGAGATTAAGACGTCAGAACTTTCAGTACAATTTTTAACTTGTTTGTTATAATCATTAAACTGATATCAAAGCATCAGGGGAAACAACCGGTAGTAGATGCAAAAGGAAGTGCGAGTCTTTCCCGAAGTGCCAGGAGTTGTTCTCATAGATTAATGATGTGACTAGTTGTTTCCAGCGGCTGCGCTGTCACTACTACTGTACATCTGATCACTGATTTTGATTACCTGAAATGCGACTTGGCTGTTCATTGTTTTCTCTATGCAGAAACGGTCTCCGCTTAGATTCTTGAATCCTAGGACCGATAATTCGCAAAAATACCCGGTAATATGTGGAAAGTTATGAAGGTACTTGCTAAGAATTGAAGAGAAAACATTTGAAAACTTCAAAAGCGACTTTCCTAACTTGTAAGAGTTTCATTTATGTATATGGTTCTAGTTGTACTACGTTCCCCGTCTTGATCTTTCATAATCATCATCTTGAATGATGAGCATTTGTCTCCTATCTGTTACACAAGTAACGACTTCTCGTCAAATAGTGAGTGGAACGATTTATCAACTGTTATCTTTCTCAACGATTTAAGTGTCTGACAAAAGTTGAAGGAATATCACCTGGTTACACTATGTAGGTCTAATAGCTGACCTATGATTTCATCAGTAACAACTTCAGTCAGCTGCAAACCGTTATTCTTAACATGCAATACAACAAATTGGTTAGATTAGTTTGATTTTATTTTATATAGACCAGTTCCGTGAGTTACTTTTTCTTTTGATGTTCTGCTTTCATATTTCTCTTTGCTTATTAGCGATATCTACCCTTTAAGATTGTCTGCTATTAGTAAACTGTTTAGCGCTACACTATCTAATCGTTTTCTCATAACTTTATGTTCATAGGAACTGATAACTTCGTTGACCAATCTCTCTTTCTGACTAGTTTCTGTTTCAACTTCACATTCATTAGTTAGTGGCAGGCGTTTTGGAATCTATAACCTCTCTTCAGAAGTGGTGGAAAATTATTAGCGAAGATTAGACTAAACAAAAATCAAGGAAGATATTGAATACTTAAAAGTCCTACTTCAGTGAAAATGTTTTACATTTTAAGCTCAATATGTCTCATATTCGTGATTTTCTGTGTAAGTACGACTGTGTAGTTACTCACTGCGATTACTGAAATGGCAGTTTGTTAAGTAGGAACTTCTTGAGCCCATAGTTTGAAAGTTAATGCTGAACTGAAATACATAATTTATCTTTGAGGATGAGATTTGGTTTACGTTGAAACGAAAGGTTTTCAGCCATAGCAATCCCAGCGAACATTTGAATGGCATTGAAACATATTCATCTGAAGTAATTTATGCAAAGACTGACCGAGTTTAGTCAGTACATTAAAAATGAGTATAAAACATCTGTTACATCGGATCAGTATTGAAAAAAATTTACATAGCCATTTATACTGCAGTGGATTTCACGGATGAGTTAAATCATAATTTGATGAAATATTGATCTTATTTGTCATCCAGGAGACCAGGAGGAAGGCCACAGTAGGTCTTTTTATGTACTTTCAGTCATTATTTAATGCATTCACTGAACAATCCACTTCATAATGTCGACAGTTCCACCATAAATTACAAATAACTGGAAAGATTAATATCCAATATTGATTGGCGAATAGAAGTGAGACAGCCTTACTGACTGTCTTCAGGGTTTTATTTATAAAAAGGCTCACCAATTAGTTCACTCAAAGTCTGACTGTGTGATGGCAAAAGAAAGCTGAAAACTGTTTTATCCCTACATTTGATTTAGGCTTAGTTTAGGCATCAGTTTCAAATGGTTGTTTCAACACCAATTAGAAATTATTCACTTTTATTACTCTACTCTCTTTGAACGCTATTCATCTCATTCCAGCTACTTTTATATTTCCTTCCTCTAGCGTCTGTCAAGTTCTTTTTCCTGTTTACTTCCATACACCAAAATGACATAAACTTTTCTTGTTATTGAGGCTTTGTGTCGTTAGACTAACACTGACTGCCTCATTGCCACTATATTATGGCTTATTATTATCACTACCATTTCTACATTCAGTATGAAAGTATCCAAAAATGTTTACATGTCTATAGTCTGATAACCATTTGCATACACAATTTCAAAGTCTGTAAATGTTGTCACGCCATACCTCGTATTGTGAAGCAACCCAATGTATGTATTGTGAAACTTCGAAATATGTTATCCTCTCTGCATTCTGTTACATATATTTACTACGGTAATTCTTCACTCGCTTGATACGCTGTCGACAACTGGACTCAAATGAACAACATATTCGATGTAGGCATATACGAAATCCAATAACCGCTTGGATATAAGTATGCCGCTCTTATATTTATTAGGCCATATGATATATTTGCGTTACACAGTTCGAAAAGTGTAATAATGCAGGTACGAGACTTATATATGTATATAAAAATCAATGAAGATGAGGGGTGAGAAAAAGAAGGTGAAAAAGTAAGGTTGAGCTAAGGGGCAAATAAAAACGAAAACAAAAACAAAGGAAAAAACAGCAAAAGGCAAATGCGTAGAAATAGCAAAATTAAATACACACAAAAAGGTTTGAGAGTACACGTGAATGAAAATGCTTTCAGTAGCAATCGGCAACAGACAAAGAAAAACCGACAAGCAAAAGAAAAAAAAATTTACAGAAATGTGTCAAGTACCACGCAAAAAAGACGTGAGAAGCAAAGAGCAGCTGAGCCACCACCTAGCTCAAAGTGAGATGTCAGCTGTAGCTGTAGTGAGAGGAGATTGTGGAGAAGCTGAGAGTGGTCAGATCAAGATAAGGCGACGAGGCATGAAGCTGCTGACAGTTGGTCTGTGGCGTGTAGGGAAGTGTCGGCTGCATGGTTCGGCTCTCAGAGATATTAGGAATCGGTGGTTGGACAGTCTTGGTGACACACCTTGGGATGGATCACTGTGGTGCAGATGTGTTCACGTCCTTTGATCATCGAGAATGTGAACGTTCCAGTCACCTGGATTCCTTCATTCTCTCCCCTCTGACACACATTGTGTACAGTTAGTTTACTATCAATCGATCTCTGCCAAGCTGATGTCACTGTGTGTTATCGTGAAGAGTTGTGACCTGAACTGGTGCATATCTGTGCACTTTCCCACGTCGACTTGTCCACTCATCTACAGGGAAGAAGTCAGACAGTTTGGATATTCATTATCCAGTGTGTTTCGAGTTGACTAATGCTGATGTGTTTGGTGAGGCTGACTGTAGATGGGAGGAGTATTGGTCGTCTTCTGAGTCTGACGAGACATTCTGATTTCCCTTTCGATTGTAGAGCCAAACCAGCAGCTGCCCCGTAAGTCCCGCATACACCGTGATTTCTCGTATCCTCATGCATATCCATGACTTGATGTAGTCTACACACAGACACACACAGACAGAGGCATACAATCACACACACTGTCACTGATACTCAAACATGAGCACACTCTCATGTCTCAGTGAGGTTGTGTCTGAGATTTGCGTGTTGACAGTCAATCAAGTCTGAAGAGGAGCTGAGGGACAACAGAGTGTGGAAAAATTGTGTCGCGTATTGTGGCTGGTAGAGGGCGCATGGATGGGATCCTCCTACTGGGACGGGCTTCCGAGGATATGCATAACTCCCAGTGCTCCACACTCACCATATTTCTGGATGTGAAGGCGCCATTTGACTCCGTCGGTCCAGAGGTTGTGTGGTAATGTCTGATTACCCAGTGACTGGCAGAGAAGTGAATTCTGCTAATCAATGCTGTCTACTCGAAAACACACCACTGTGTAATAGCATACGCTCTCCGTGAGAGTGAGTCTGAGTACGTCTGGTGTGCATTGCTTATCTGTCACATGTAAGATGATGGTGAAGGGGTGGTGTGCACTGACTGCTGGTCGACAGGTGAGGGATGAATTGGTGGAATGCGCTCACCAGTTCGTGTGATTGGGAAGTTGCATCAGACCTAATGGACTGGTTGTTGACGAAGTCTGACGACGCACACAAGATGTCTGTTTGGAACCTGCCTGGTCACGTCATCTTCGGCACCGGTCACACATGTGAGTGGAAATCGAGGGACGAGTGTTCTGTGCAGCCGTCCACTGTTTCCCACTCTATGGCCATCAGACATGGTCATCAAAGTTCAGAGACATGAGATGGCCAGATGTTTTCGAAGACTGGTCGCTGCACATCATCACTGGTGTTGTGAAGCTGCAGAGTGATCAGCGTCGAGGTCAGGTGTAGAGTCCTAGTCAAGGAGGGTGAGGCAGTCGATGGAGGTGTGACGCTTCACTGACTGCGGTGATCTGGACGTGTGTTGCACATCCCAGGTGAGCCACCACCTAGCTCAAAGTGAGATGTCAGCTGTAGCTGTAGTGAGAGGAGATTGTGGAGAAGCTGAGAGTGGTCAGATCAAGATAAGGCGACGAGGCATGAAGCTGCTGACAGTTGGTCTGTGGCGTGTAGGGAAGTGTCGGCTGCATGGTTCGGCTCTCAGAGATATTAGGAATCGGTGGTTGGACAGTCTTGGTGACACACCTTGGGATGGATCACTGTGGTGCAGATGTGTTCACGTCCTTTGATCATCGAGAATGTGAACGTTCCAGTCACCTGGATTCCTTCATTCTCTCCCCTCTGACACACATTGTGTACAGTTAGTTTACTATCAATCGATCTCTGCCAAGCTGATGTCACTGTGTGTTATCGTGAAGAGTTGTGACCTGAACTGGTGCATATCTGTGCACTTTCCCACGTCGACTTGTCCACTCATCTACAGGGAAGAAGTCAGACAGTTTGGATATTCATTATCCAGTGTGTTTCGAGTTGACTAATGCTGATGTGTTTGGTGAGGCTGACTGTAGATGGGAGGAGTATTGGTCGTCTTCTGAGTCTGACGAGACATTCTGATTTCCCTTTCGATTGTAGAGCCAAACCAGCAGCTGCCCCGTAAGTCCCGCATACACCGTGATTTCTCGTATCCTCATGCATATCCATGACTTGATGTAGTCTACACACAGACACACACAGACAGAGGCATACAATCACACACACTGTCACTGATACTCAAACATGAGCACACTCTCATGTCTCAGTGAGGTTGTGTCTGAGATTTGCGTGTTGACAGTCAATCAAGTCTGAAGAGGAGCTGAGGGACAACAGAGTGTGGAAAAATTGTGTCGCGTATTGTGGCTGGTAGAGGGCGCATGGATGGGATCCTCCTACTGGGACGGGCTTCCGAGGATATGCATAACTCCCAGTGCTCCACACTCACCATATTTCTGGATGTGAAGGCGCCATTTGACTCCGTCGGTCCAGAGGTTGTGTGGTAATGTCTGATTACCCAGTGACTGGCAGAGAAGTGAATTCTGCTAATCAATGCTGTCTACTCGAAAACACACCACTGTGTAATAGCATACGCTCTCCGTGAGAGTGAGTCTGAGTACGTCTGGTGTGCATTGCTTATCTGTCACATGTAAGATGATGGTGAAGGGGTGGTGTGCACTGACTGCTGGTCGACAGGTGAGGGATGAATTGGTGGAATGCGCTCACCAGTTCGTGTGATTGGGAAGTTGCATCAGACCTAATGGACTGGTTGTTGACGAAGTCTGACGACGCACACAAGATGTCTGTTTGGAACCTGCCTGGTCACGTCATCTTCGGCACCGGTCACACATGTGAGTGGAAATCGAGGGACGAGTGTTCTGTGCAGCCGTCCACTGTTTCCCACTCTATGGCCATCAGACATGGTCATCAAAGTTCAGAGACATGAGATGGCCAGATGTTTTCGAAGACTGGTCGCTGCACATCATCACTGGTGTTGTGAAGCTGCAGAGTGATCAGCGTCGAGGTCAGGTGTAGAGTCCTAGGCAAGGAGGGTGAGGCAGTCGATGGAGGTGTGACGCTTCACTGACTGCGGTGATCTGGACGTGTGTTGCACATCCCAGGTGAGCCACCACCTAGCTCAAAGTGAGATGTCAGCTGTAGCTGTAGTGAGAGGAGATTGTGGAGAAGCTGAGAGTGGTCAGATCAAGATAAGGCGACGAGGCATGAAGCTGCTGACAGTTGGTCTGTGGCGTGTAGGGAAGTGTCGGCTGCATGGTTCGGCTCTCAGAGATATTAGGAATCGGTGGTTGGACAGTCTTGGTGACACACCTTGGGATGGATCACTGTGGTGCAGATGTGTTCACGTCCTTTGATCATCGAGAATGTGAACGTTCCAGTCACCTGGATTCCTTCATTCTCTCCCCTCTGACACACATTGTGTACAGTTAGTTTACTATCAATCGATCTCTGCCAAGCTGATGTCACTGTGTGTTATCGTGAAGAGTTGTGACCTGAACTGGTGCATATCTGTGCACTTTCCCACGTCGACTTGTCCACTCATCTACAGGGAAGAAGTCAGACAGTTTGGATATTCATTATCCAGTGTGTTTCGAGTTGACTAATGCTGATGTGTTTGGTGAGGCTGACTGTAGATGGGAGGAGTATTGGTCGTCTTCTGAGTCTGACGAGACATTCTGATTTCCCTTTCGATTGTAGAGCCAAACCAGCAGCTGCCCCGTAAGTCCCGCATACACCGTGATTTCTCGTATCCTCATGCATATCCATGACTTGATGTAGTCTACACACAGACACACACAGACAGAGGCATACAATCACACACACTGTCACTGATACTCAAACATGAGCACACTCTCATGTCTCAGTGAGGTTGTGTCTGAGATTTGCGTGTTGACAGTCAATCAAGTCTGAAGAGGAGCTGAGGGACAACAGAGTGTGGAAAAATTGTGTCGCGTATTGTGGCTGGTAGAGGGCGCATGGATGGGATCCTCCTACTGGGACGGGCTTCCGAGGATATGCATAACTCCCAGTGCTCCACACTCACCATATTTCTGGATGTGAAGGCGCCATTTGACTCCGTCGGTCCAGAGGTTGTGTGGTAATGTCTGATTACCCAGTGACTGGCAGAGAAGTGAATTCTGCTAATCAATGCTGTCTACTCGAAAACACACCACTGTGTAATAGCATACGCTCTCCGTGAGAGTGAGTCTGAGTACGTCTGGTGTGCATTGCTTATCTGTCACATGTAAGATGATGGTGAAGGGGTGGTGTGCACTGACTGCTGGTCGACAGGTGAGGGATGAATTGGTGGAATGCGCTCACCAGTTCGTGTGATTGGGAAGTTGCATCAGACCTAATGGACTGGTTGTTGACGAAGTCTGACGACGCACACAAGATGTCTGTTTGGAACCTGCCTGGTCACGTCATCTTCGGCACCGGTCACACATGTGAGTGGAAATCGAGGGACGAGTGTTCTGTGCAGCCGTCCACTGTTTCCCACTCTATGGCCATCAGACATGGTCATCAAAGTTCAGAGACATGAGATGGCCAGATGTTTTCGAAGACTGGTCGCTGCACATCATCACTGGTGTTGTGAAGCTGCAGAGTGATCAGCGTCGAGGTCAGGTGTAGAGTCCTAGTCAAGGAGGGTGAGGCAGTCGATGGAGGTGTGACGCTTCACTGACTGCGGTGATCTGGACGTGTGTTGCACATCCCAGGTGAGCCACCACCTAGCTCAAAGTGAGATGTCAGCTGTAGCTGTAGTGAGAGGAGATTGTGGAGAAGCTGAGAGTGGTCAGATCAAGATAAGGCGACGAGGCATGAAGCTGCTGACAGTTGGTCTGTGGCGTGTAGGGAAGTGTCGGCTGCATGGTTCGGCTCTCAGAGATATTAGGAATCGGTGGTTGGACAGTCTTGGTGACACACCTTGGGATGGATCACTGTGGTGCAGATGTGTTCACGTCCTTTGATCATCGAGAATGTGAACGTTCCAGTCACCTGGATTCCTTCATTCTCTCCCCTCTGACACACATTGTGTACAGTTAGTTTACTATCAATCGATCTCTGCCAAGCTGATGTCACTGTGTGTTATCGTGAAGAGTTGTGACCTGAACTGGTGCATATCTGTGCACTTTCCCACGTCGACTTGTCCACTCATCTACAGGGAAGAAGTCAGACAGTTTGGATATTCATTATCCAGTGTGTTTCGAGTTGACTAATGCTGATGTGTTTGGTGAGGCTGACTGTAGATGGGAGGAGTATTGGTCGTCTTCTGAGTCTGACGAGACATTCTGATTTCCCTTTCGATTGTAGAGCCAAACCAGCAGCTGCCCCGTAAGTCCCGCATACACCGTGATTTCTCGTATCCTCATGCATATCCATGACTTGATGTAGTCTACACACAGACACACACAGACAGAGGCATACAATCACACACACTGTCACTGATACTCAAACATGAGCACACTCTCATGTCTCAGTGAGGTTGTGTCTGAGATTTGCGTGTTGACAGTCAATCAAGTCTGAAGAGGAGCTGAGGGACAACAGAGTGTGGAAAAATCGTGTCGCGTATTGTGGCTGGTAGAGGGCGCATGGATGGGATCCTCCTACTGGGACGGGCTTCCGAGGATATGCATAACTCCCAGTGCTCCACACTCACCATATTTCTGGATGTGAAGGCGCCATTTGACTCCGTCGGTCCAGAGGTTGTGTGGTAATGTCTGATTACCCAGTGACTGGCAGAGAAGTGAATTCTGCTAATCAATGCTGTCTACTCGAAAACACACCACTGTGTAATAGCATACGCTCTCCGTGAGAGTGAGTCTGAGTACGTCTGGTGTGCATTGCTTATCTGTCACATGTAAGATGATGGTGAAGGGGTGGTGTGCACTGACTGCTGGTCGACAGGTGAGGGATGAATTGGTGGAATGCGCTCACCAGTTCGTGTGATTGGGAAGTTGCATCAGACCTAATGGACTGGTTGTTGACGAAGTCTGACGACGCACACAAGATGTCTGTTTGGAACCTGCCTGGTCACGTCATCTTCGGCACCGGTCACACATGTGAGTGGAAATCGAGGGACGAGTGTTCTGTGCAGCCGTCCACTGTTTCCCACTCTATGGCCATCAGACATGGTCATCAAAGTTCAGAGACATGAGATGGCCAGATGTTTTCGAAGACTGGTCGCTGCACATCATCACTGGTGTTGTGAAGCTGCAGAGTGATCAGCGTCGAGGTCAGGTGTAGAGTCCTAGTCAAGGAGGGTGAGGCAGTCGATGGAGGTGTGACGCTTCACTGACTGCGGTGATCTGGACGTGTGTTGCACATCCCAGGTGAGCCACCACCTAGCTCAAAGTGAGATGTCAGCTGTAGCTGTAGTGAGAGGAGATTGTGGAGAAGCTGAGAGTGGTCAGATCAAGATAAGGCGACGAGGCATGAAGCTGCTGACAGTTGGTCTGTGGCGTGTAGGGAAGTGTCGGCTGCATGGTTCGGCTCTCAGAGATATTAGGAATCGGTGGTTGGACAGTCTTGGTGACACACCTTGGGATGGATCACTGTGGTGCAGATGTGTTCACGTCCTTTGATCATCGAGAATGTGAACGTTCCAGTCACCTGGATTCCTTCATTCTCTCCCCTCTGACACACATTGTGTACAGTTAGTTTACTATCAATCGATCTCTGCCAAGCTGATGTCACTGTGTGTTATCGTGAAGAGTTGTGACCTGAACTGGTGCATATCTGTGCACTTTCCCACGTCGACTTGTCCACTCATCTACAGGGAAGAAGTCAGACAGTTTGGATATTCATTATCCAGTGTGTTTCGAGTTGACTAATGCTGATGTGTTTGGTGAGGCTGACTGTAGATGGGAGGAGTATTGGTCGTCTTCTGAGTCTGACGAGACATTCTGATTTCCCTTTCGATTGTAGAGCCAAACCAGCAGCTGCCCCGTAAGTCCCGCATACACCGTGATTTCTCGTATCCTCATGCATATCCATGACTTGATGTAGTCTACACACAGACACACACAGACAGAGGCATACAATCACACACACTGTCACTGATACTCAAACATGAGCACACTCTCATGTCTCAGTGAGGTTGTGTCTGAGATTTGCGTGTTGACAGTCAATCAAGTCTGAAGAGGAGCTGAGGGACAACAGAGTGTGGAAAAATTGTGTCGCGTATTGTGGCTGGTAGAGGGCGCATGGATGGGATCCTCCTACTGGGACGGGCTTCCGAGGATATGCATAACTCCCAGTGCTCCACACTCACCATATTTCTGGATGTGAAGGCGCCATTTGACTCCGTCGGTCCAGAGGTTGTGTGGTAATGTCTGATTACCCAGTGACTGGCAGAGAAGTGAATTCTGCTAATCAATGCTGTCTACTCGAAAACACACCACTGTGTAATAGCATACGCTCTCCGTGAGAGTGAGTCTGAGTACGTCTGGTGTGCATTGCTTATCTGTCACATGTAAGATGATGGTGAAGGGGTGGTGTGCACTGACTGCTGGTCGACAGGTGAGGGATGAATTGGTGGAATGCGCTCACCAGTTCGTGTGATTGGGAAGTTGCATCAGACCTAATGGACTGGTTGTTGACGAAGTCTGACGACGCACACAAGATGTCTGTTTGGAACCTGCCTGGTCACGTCATCTTCGGCACCGGTCACACATGTGAGTGGAAATCGAGGGACGAGTGTTCTGTGCAGCCGTCCACTGCTTCCCACTCTATGGCCATCAGACATGGTCATCAAAGTTCAGAGACATGAGATGGCCAGATGTTTTCGAAGACTGGTCGCTGCACATCATCACTGGTGTTGTGAAGCTGCAGAGTGATCAGCGTCGAGGTCAGGTGTAGAGTCCTAGTCAAGGAGGGTGAGGCAGTCGATGGAGGTGTGACGCTTCACTGACTGCGGTGATCTGGACGTGTGTTGCACATCCCAGGTGAGCCACCACCTAGCTCAAAGTGAGATGTCAGCTGTAGCTGTAGTGAGAGGAGATTGTGGAGAAGCTGAGAGTGGTCAGATCAAGATAAGGCGACGAGGCATGAAGCTGCTGACAGTTGGTCTGTGGCGTGTAGGGAAGTGTCGGCTGCATGGTTCGGCTCTCAGAGATATTAGGAATCGGTGGTTGGACAGTCTTGGTGACACACCTTGGGATGGATCACTGTGGTGCAGATGTGTTCACGTCCTTTGATCATCGAGAATGTGAACGTTCCAGTCACCTGGATTCCTTCATTCTCTCCCCTCTGACACACATTGTGTACAGTTAGTTTACTATCAATCGATCTCTGCCAAGCTGATGTCACTGTGTGTTATCGTGAAGAGTTGTGACCTGAACTGGTGCATATCTGTGCACTTTCCCACGTCGACTTGTCCACTCATCTACAGGGAAGAAGTCAGACAGTTTGGATATTCATTATCCAGTGTGTTTCGAGTTGACTAATGCTGATGTGTTTGGTGAGGCTGACTGTAGATGGGAGGAGTATTGGTCGTCTTCTGAGTCTGACGAGACATTCTGATTTCCCTTTCGATTGTAGAGCCAAACCAGCAGCTGCCCCGTAAGTCCCGCATACACCGTGATTTCTCGTATCCTCATGCATATCCATGACTTGATGTAGTCTACACACAGACACACACAGACAGAGGCATACAATCACACACACTGTCACTGATACTCAAACATGAGCACACTCTCATGTCTCAGTGAGGTTGTGTCTGAGATTTGCGTGTTGACAGTCAATCAAGTCTGAAGAGGAGCTGAGGGACAACAGAGTGTGGAAAAATTGTGTCGCGTATTGTGGCTGGTAGAGGGCGCATGGATGGGATCCTCCTACTGGGACGGGCTTCCGAGGATATGCATAACTCCCAGTGCTCCACACTCACCATATTTCTGGATGTGAAGGCGCCATTTGACTCCGTCGGTCCAGAGGTTGTGTGGTAATGTCTGATTACCCAGTGACTGGCAGAGAAGTGAATTCTGCTAATCAATGCTGTCTACTCGAAAACACACCACTGTGTAATAGCATACGCTCTCCGTGAGAGTGAGTCTGAGTACGTCTGGTGTGCATTGCTTATCTGTCACATGTAAGATGATGGTGAAGGGGTGGTGTGCACTGACTGCTGGTCGACAGGTGAGGGATGAATTGGTGGAATGCGCTCACCAGTTCGTGTGATTGGGAAGTTGCATCAGACCTAATGGACTGGTTGTTGACGAAGTCTGACGACGCACACAAGATGTCTGTTTGGAACCTGCCTGGTCACGTCATCTTCGGCACCGGTCACACATGTGAGTGGAAATCGAGGGACGAGTGTTCTGTGCAGCCGTCCACTGCTTCCCACTCTATGGCCATCAGACATGGTCATCAAAGTTCAGAGACATGAGATGGCCAGATGTTTTCGAAGACTGGTCGCTGCACATCATCACTGGTGTTGTGAAGCTGCAGAGTGATCAGCGTCGAGGTCAGGTGTAGAGTCCTAGTCAAGGAGGGTGAGGCAGTCGATGGAGGTGTGACGCTTCACTGACTGCGGTGATCTGGACGTGTGTTGCACATCCCAGGTGAGCCACCACCTAGCTCAAAGTGAGATGTCAGCTGTAGCTGTAGTGAGAGGAGATTGTGGAGAAGCTGAGAGTGGTCAGATCAAGATAAGGCGACGAGGCATGAAGCTGCTGACAGTTGGTCTGTGGCGTGTAGGGAAGTGTCGGCTGCATGGTTCGGCTCTCAGAGATATTAGGAATCGGTGGTTGGACAGTCTTGGTGACACACCTTGGGATGGATCACTGTGGTGCAGATGTGTTCACGTCCTTTGATCATCGAGAATGTGAACGTTCCAGTCACCTGGATTCCTTCATTCTCTCCCCTCTGACACACATTGTGTACAGTTAGTTTACTATCAATCGATCTCTGCCAAGCTGATGTCACTGTGTGTTATCGTGAAGAGTTGTGACCTGAACTGGTGCATATCTGTGCACTTTCCCACGTCGACTTGTCCACTCATCTACAGGGAAGAAGTCAGACAGTTTGGATATTCATTATCCAGTGTGTTTCGAGTTGACTAATGCTGATGTGTTTGGTGAGGCTGACTGTAGATGGGAGGAGTATTGGTCGTCTTCTGAGTCTGACGAGACATTCTGATTTCCCTTTCGATTGTAGAGCCAAACCAGCAGCTGCCCCGTAAGTCCCGCATACACCGTGATTTCTCGTATCCTCATGCATATCCATGACTTGATGTAGTCTACACACAGACACACACAGACAGAGGCATACAATCACACACACTGTCACTGATACTCAAACATGAGCACACTCTCATGTCTCAGTGAGGTTGTGTCTGAGATTTGCGTGTTGACAGTCAATCAAGTCTGAAGAGGAGCTGAGGGACAACAGAGTGTGGAAAAATTGTGTCGCGTATTGTGGCTGGTAGAGGGCGCATGGATGGGATCCTCCTACTGGGACGGGCTTCCGAGGATATGCATAACTCCCAGTGCTCCACACTCACCATATTTCTGGATGTGAAGGCGCCATTTGACTCCGTCGGTCCAGAGGTTGTGTGGTAATGTCTGATTACCCAGTGACTGGCAGAGAAGTGAATTCTGCTAATCAATGCTGTCTACTCGAAAACACACCACTGTGTAATAGCATACGCTCTCCGTGAGAGTGAGTCTGAGTACGTCTGGTGTGCATTGCTTATCTGTCACATGTAAGATGATGGTGAAGGGGTGGTGTGCACTGACTGCTGGTCGACAGGTGAGGGATGAATTGGTGGAATGCGCTCACCAGTTCGTGTGATTGGGAAGTTGCATCAGACCTAATGGACTGGTTGTTGACGAAGTCTGACGACGCACACAAGATGTCTGTTTGGAACCTGCCTGGTCACGTCATCTTCGGCACCGGTCACACATGTGAGTGGAAATCGAGGGACGAGTGTTCTGTGCAGCCGTCCACTGTTTCCCACTCTATGGCCATCAGACATGGCCATCAAAGTTCAGAGACATGAGATGGCCAGATGTTTTCGAAGACTGGTCGCTGCACATCATCACTGGTGTTGTGAAGCTGCAGAGTGATCAGCGTCGAGGTCAGGTGTAGAGTCCTAGGCAAGGAGGGTGAGGCAGTCGATGGAGGTGTGACGCTTCACTGACTGCGGTGATCTGGACGTGTGTTGCACATCCCAGGTGAGCCACCACCTAGCTCAAAGTGAGATGTCAGCTGTAGCTGTAGTGAGAGGAGATTGTGGAGAAGCTGAGAGTGGTCAGATCAAGATAAGGCGACGAGGCATGAAGCTGCTGACAGTTGGTCTGTGGCGTGTAGGGAAGTGTCGGCTGCATGGTTCGGCTCTCAGAGATATTAGGAATCGGTGGTTGGACAGTCTTGGTGACACACCTTGGGATGGATCACTGTGGTGCAGATGTGTTCACGTCCTTTGATCATCGAGAATGTGAACGTTCCAGTCACCTGGATTCCTTCATTCTCTCCCCTCTGACACACATTGTGTACAGTTAGTTTACTATCAATCGATCTCTGCCAAGCTGATGTCACTGTGTGTTATCGTGAAGAGTTGTGACCTGAACTGGTGCATATCTGTGCACTTTCCCACGTCGACTTGTCCACTCATCTACAGGGAAGAAGTCAGACAGTTTGGATATTCATTATCCAGTGTGTTTCGAGTTGACTAATGCTGATGTGTTTGGTGAGGCTGACTGTAGATGGGAGGAGTATTGGTCGTCTTCTGAGTCTGACGAGACATTCTGATTTCCCTTTCGATTGTAGAGCCAAACCAGCAGCTGCCCCGTAAGTCCCGCATACACCGTGATTTCTCGTATCCTCATGCATATCCATGACTTGATGTAGTCTACACACAGACACACACAGACAGAGGCATACAATCACACACACTGTCACTGATACTCAAACATGAGCACACTCTCATGTCTCAGTGAGGTTGTGTCTGAGATTTGCGTGTTGACAGTCAATCAAGTCTGAAGAGGAGCTGAGGGACAACAGAGTGTGGAAAAATTGTGTCGCGTATTGTGGCTGGTAGAGGGCGCATGGATGGGATCCTCCTACTGGGACGGGCTTCCGAGGATATGCATAACTCCCAGTGCTCCACACTCACCATATTTCTGGATGTGAAGGCGCCATTTGACTCCGTCGGTCCAGAGGTTGTGTGGTAATGTCTGATTACCCAGTGACTGGCAGAGAAGTGAATTCTGCTAATCAATGCTGTCTACTCGAAAACACACCACTGTGTAATAGCATACGCTCTCCGTGAGAGTGAGTCTGAGTACGTCTGGTGTGCATTGCTTATCTGTCACATGTAAGATGATGGTGAAGGGGTGGTGTGCACTGACTGCTGGTCGACAGGTGAGGGATGAATTGGTGGAATGCGCTCACCAGTTCGTGTGATTGGGAAGTTGCATCAGACCTAATGGACTGGTTGTTGACGAAGTCTGACGACGCACACAAGATGTCTGTTTGGAACCTGCCTGGTCACGTCATCTTCGGCACCGGTCACACATGTGAGTGGAAATCGAGGGACGAGTGTTCTGTGCAGCCGTCCACTGTTTCCCACTCTATGGCCATCAGACATGGTCATCAAAGTTCAGAGACATGAGATGGCCAGATGTTTTCGAAGACTGGTCGCTGCACATCATCACTGGTGTTGTGAAGCTGCAGAGTGATCAGCGTCGAGGTCAGGTGTAGAGTCCTAGTCAAGGAGGGTGAGGCAGTCGATGGAGGTGTGACGCTTCACTGACTGCGGTGATCTGGACGTGTGTTGCACATCCCAGGTGAGCCACCACCTAGCTCAAAGTGAGATGTCAGCTGTAGCTGTAGTGAGAGGAGATTGTGGAGAAGCTGAGAGTGGTCAGATCAAGATAAGGCGACGAGGCATGAAGCTGCTGACAGTTGGTCTGTGGCGTGTAGGGAAGTGTCGGCTGCATGGTTCGGCTCTCAGAGATATTAGGAATCGGTGGTTGGACAGTCTTGGTGACACACCTTGGGATGGATCACTGTGGTGCAGATGTGTTCACGTCCTTTGATCATCGAGAATGTGAACGTTCCAGTCACCTGGATTCCTTCATTCTCTCCCCTCTGACACACATTGTGTACAGTTAGTTTACTATCAATCGATCTCTGCCAAGCTGATGTCACTGTGTGTTATCGTGAAGAGTTGTGACCTGAACTGGTGCATATCTGTGCACTTTCCCACGTCGACTTGTCCACTCATCTACAGGGAAGAAGTCAGACAGTTTGGATATTCATTATCCAGTGTGTTTCGAGTTGACTAATGCTGATGTGTTTGGTGAGGCTGACTGTAGATGGGAGGAGTATTGGTCGTCTTCTGAGTCTGACGAGACATTCTGATTTCCCTTTCGATTGTAGAGCCAAACCAGCAGCTGCCCCGTAAGTCCCGCATACACCGTGATTTCTCGTATCCTCATGCATATCCATGACTTGATGTAGTCTACACACAGACACACACAGACAGAGGCATACAATCACACACACTGTCACTGATACTCAAACATGAGCACACTCTCATGTCTCAGTGAGGTTGTGTCTGAGATTTGCGTGTTGACAGTCAATCAAGTCTGAAGAGGAGCTGAGGGACAACAGAGTGTGGAAAAATTGTGTCGCGTATTGTGGCTGGTAGAGGGCGCATGGATGGGATCCTCCTACTGGGACGGGCTTCCGAGGATATGCATAACTCCCAGTGCTCCACACTCACCATATTTCTGGATGTGAAGGCGCCATTTGACTCCGTCGGTCCAGAGGTTGTGTGGTAATGTCTGATTACCCAGTGACTGGCAGAGAAGTGAATTCTGCTAATCAATGCTGTCTACTCGAAAACACACCACTGTGTAATAGCATACGCTCTCCGTGAGAGTGAGTCTGAGTACGTCTGGTGTGCATTGCTTATCTGTCACATGTAAGATGATGGTGAAGGGGTGGTGTGCACTGACTGCTGGTCGACAGGTGAGGGATGAATTGGTGGAATGCGCTCACCAGTTCGTGTGATTGGGAAGTTGCATCAGACCTAATGGACTGGTTGTTGACGAAGTCTGACGACGCACACAAGATGTCTGTTTGGAACCTGCCTGGTCACGTCATCTTCGGCACCGGTCACACATGTGAGTGGAAATCGAGGGACGAGTGTTCTGTGCAGCCGTCCACTGTTTCCCACTCTATGGCCATCAGACATGGTCATCAAAGTTCAGAGACATGAGATGGCCAGATGTTTTCGAAGACTGGTCGCTGCACATCATCACTGGTGTTGTGAAGCTGCAGAGTGATCAGCGTCGAGGTCAGGTGTAGAGTCCTAGTCAAGGAGGGTGAGGCAGTCGATGGAGGTGTGACGCTTCACTGACTGCGGTGATCTGGACGTGTGTTGCACATCCCAGGTGAGCCACCACCTAGCTCAAAGTGAGATGTCAGCTGTAGCTGTAGTGAGAGGAGATTGTGGAGAAGCTGAGAGTGGTCAGATCAAGATAAGGCGACGAGGCATGAAGCTGCTGACAGTTGGTCTGTGGCGTGTAGGGAAGTGTCGGCTGCATGGTTCGGCTCTCAGAGATATTAGGAATCGGTGGTTGGACAGTCTTGGTGACACACCTTGGGATGGATCACTGTGGTGCAGATGTGTTCACGTCCTTTGATCATCGAGAATGTGAACGTTCCAGTCACCTGGATTCCTTCATTCTCTCCCCTCTGACACACATTGTGTACAGTTAGTTTACTATCAATCGATCTCTGCCAAGCTGATGTCACTGTGTGTTATCGTGAAGAGTTGTGACCTGAACTGGTGCATATCTGTGCACTTTCCCACGTCGACTTGTCCACTCATCTACAGGGAAGAAGTCAGACAGTTTGGATATTCATTATCCAGTGTGTTTCGAGTTGACTAATGCTGATGTGTTTGGTGAGGCTGACTGTAGATGGGAGGAGTATTGGTCGTCTTCTGAGTCTGACGAGACATTCTGATTTCCCTTTCGATTGTAGAGCCAAACCAGCAGCTGCCCCGTAAGTCCCGCATACACCGTGATTTCTCGTATCCTCATGCATATCCATGACTTGATGTAGTCTACACACAGACACACACAGACAGAGGCATACAATCACACACACTGTCACTGATACTCAAACATGAGCACACTCTCATGTCTCAGTGAGGTTGTGTCTGAGATTTGCGTGTTGACAGTCAATCAAGTCTGAAGAGGAGCTGAGGGACAACAGAGTGTGGAAAAATTGTGTCGCGTATTGTGGCTGGTAGAGGGCGCATGGATGGGATCCTCCTACTGGGACGGGCTTCCGAGGATATGCATAACTCCCAGTGCTCCACACTCACCATATTTCTGGATGTGAAGGCGCCATTTGACTCCGTCGGTCCAGAGGTTGTGTGGTAATGTCTGATTACCCAGTGACTGGCAGAGAAGTGAATTCTGCTAATCAATGCTGTCTACTCGAAAACACACCACTGTGTAATAGCATACGCTCTCCGTGAGAGTGAGTCTGAGTACGTCTGGTGTGCATTGCTTATCTGTCACATGTAAGATGATGGTGAAGGGGTGGTGTGCACTGACTGCTGGTCGACAGGTGAGGGATGAATTGGTGGAATGCGCTCACCAGTTCGTGTGATTGGGAAGTTGCATCAGACCTAATGGACTGGTTGTTGACGAAGTCTGACGACGCACACAAGATGTCTGTTTGGAACCTGCCTGGTCACGTCATCTTCGGCACCGGTCACACATGTGAGTGGAAATCGAGGGACGAGTGTTCTGTGCAGCCGTCCACTGTTTCCCACTCTATGGCCATCAGACATGGCCATCAAAGTTCAGAGACATGAGATGGCCAGATGTTTTCGAAGACTGGTCGCTGCACATCATCACTGGTGTTGTGAAGCTGCAGAGTGATCAGCGTCGAGGTCAGGTGTAGAGTCCTAGTCAAGGAGGGTGAGGCAGTCGATGGAGGTGTGACGCTTCACTGACTGCGGTGATCTGGACGTGTGTTGCACATCCCAGGTGAGCCACCACCTAGCTCAAAGTGAGATGTCAGCTGTAGCTGTAGTGAGAGGAGATTGTGGAGAAGCTGAGAGTGGTCAGATCAAGATAAGGCGACGAGGCATGAAGCTGCTGACAGTTGGTCTGTGGCGTGTAGGGAAGTGTCGGCTGCATGGTTCGGCTCTCAGAGATATTAGGAATCGGTGGTTGGACAGTCTTGGTGACACACCTTGGGATGGATCACTGTGGTGCAGATGTGTTCACGTCCTTTGATCATCGAGAATGTGAACGTTCCAGTCACCTGGATTCCTTCATTCTCTCCCCTCTGACACACATTGTGTACAGTTAGTTTACTATCAATCGATCTCTGCCAAGCTGATGTCACTGTGTGTTATCGTGAAGAGTTGTGACCTGAACTGGTGCATATCTGTGCACTTTCCCACGTCGACTTGTCCACTCATCTACAGGGAAGAAGTCAGACAGTTTGGATATTCATTATCCAGTGTGTTTCGAGTTGACTAATGCTGATGTGTTTGGTGAGGCTGACTGTAGATGGGAGGAGTATTGGTCGTCTTCTGAGTCTGACGAGACATTCTGATTTCCCTTTCGATTGTAGAGCCAAACCAGCAGCTGCCCCGTAAGTCCCGCATACACCGTGATTTCTCGTATCCTCATGCATATCCATGACTTGATGTAGTCTACACACAGACACACACAGACAGAGGCATACAATCACACACACTGTCACTGATACTCAAACATGAGCACACTCTCATGTCTCAGTGAGGTTGTGTCTGAGATTTGCGTGTTGACAGTCAATCAAGTCTGAAGAGGAGCTGAGGGACAACAGAGTGTGGAAAAATTGTGTCGCGTATTGTGGCTGGTAGAGGGCGCATGGATGGGATCCTCCTACTGGGACGGGCTTCCGAGGATATGCATAACTCCCAGTGCTCCACACTCACCATATTTCTGGATGTGAAGGCGCCATTTGACTCCGTCGGTCCAGAGGTTGTGTGGTAATGTCTGATTACCCAGTGACTGGCAGAGAAGTGAATTCTGCTAATCAATGCTGTCTACTCGAAAACACACCACTGTGTAATAGCATACGCTCTCCGTGAGAGTGAGTCTGAGTACGTCTGGTGTGCATTGCTTATCTGTCACATGTAAGATGATGGTGAAGGGGTGGTGTGCACTGACTGCTGGTCGACAGGTGAGGGATGAATTGGTGGAATGCGCTCACCAGTTCGTGTGATTGGGAAGTTGCATCAGACCTAATGGACTGGTTGTTGACGAAGTCTGACGACGCACACAAGATGTCTGTTTGGAACCTGCCTGGTCACGTCATCTTCGGCACCGGTCACACATGTGAGTGGAAATCGAGGGACGAGTGTTCTGTGCAGCCGTCCACTGTTTCCCACTCTATGGCCATCAGACATGGCCATCAAAGTTCAGAGACATGAGATGGCCAGATGTTTTCGAAGACTGGTCGCTGCACATCATCACTGGTGTTGTGAAGCTGCAGAGTGATCAGCGTCGAGGTCAGGTGTAGAGTCCTAGGCAAGGAGGGTGAGGCAGTCGATGGAGGTGTGACGCTTCACTGACTGCGGTGATCTGGACGTGTGTTGCACATCCCAGGTGAGCCACCACCTAGCTCAAAGTGAGATGTCAGCTGTAGCTGTAGTGAGAGGAGATTGTGGAGAAGCTGAGAGTGGTCAGATCAAGATAAGGCGACGAGGCATGAAGCTGCTGACAGTTGGTCTGTGGCGTGTAGGGAAGTGTCGGCTGCATGGTTCGGCTCTCAGAGATATTAGGAATCGGTGGTTGGACAGTCTTGGTGACACACCTTGGGATGGATCACAGTGGTGCAGATGTGTTCACGTCCTTTGATCATCGAGATTTTGGGGGTTGCTCTTAACTGGTTTTGTTGTTTTTCTGCTTTCTTACTTCCAAGCTTGAAATATTATTTTTCCTCGATTATAGATCCCATTCCCTCTGGGAATTTTTTTCTTTGGGGAAACGGAATGTGTGAGGATTTTTTTTAGTTTTTTTTTATTTTTCCTTTGTTCCTGTGGCTTCATTATCGTGTCTCCTCTTCTCTCCTTTTTCTTGATGCTTTTGAACCTGGCTCCGCCACTGCCCTGAAGCTTGCATTTTTTGACGCATGATCTCGTGCATGCTACCGTCGCCTCGGACATCCAACTCGTCTTTTCACATGCCAGTTACATTCGATGACCTGGTCTGGCACGTGATGTCCCTTATCTGTCTTCTCAGTGTGTACCCAACCCAATCCATCTCCACTTCCTTCTGCACATTTATTGGGTGAAGGTTCTTGCTTTGTTGGTTCGTTGCCAGCTGGAGTGAGTTCCCTTTTGCTTACTCGTATTATTCTCTCCATCTGATCATCAGTATCGAGTGAGCGTTCATGGCAGCTGTTGATGAATATCTGCAGTTTATTGAAAATGCTTTTCGTGACGCGCCAAGTTTCTGAACCACATAGCAGCACTGACTTGACTGAACTAGTGTTAGAAATCTGGATCTTGTTCACACTTTATGCTCTTTTTATCGGTCCACCAAGTTTTGGTTTTTATAATTAATTAGTCGATTTTGACCTGACCAGCTAGTCAAATAATTGAGTTCAGACTATGAGAATCTTAGTTGTTTCGACATCCAGTTTTTCTACCGTTTAGCAGCAGCAGAATTAAAGATGTCATCTGATACTGTTGTAATTAAAGAACTGTTTGAGTAGTTCAGTACTGATTTTTGCGAATATAGTCTTTGTTGGTGGGGATTTAAATCGTCATGTCACCTTTAGTTGTTCCCAGGTTGTAGGTATGGTTTCGTAACAAACTTCAAGAAGCCCGAAACTCGAGTAAAAAGCTTCCTACTGATTGATTCCAACCGAATGTCTCCTTAGTAACACACTAAGACGAAACAGCCATCCAGTCCCATGTTTTTAATAGTTTATAAAATAATAAACACTACTTCAATATCAATGGACTAATAAAAACCTTCAAATTGAAATATGCAATAATAATTTGAAATGAATTAAAGTGATGGTAAGTTTGCACCGAAGGTTCATGCATGAAGGAGGTTTATAATGATCATATATTCGGGTTGTGTATCATATTCGCTTCTTGTGCTTTGAATATCAACCCTTCACATTTTGGAAATGCAGGTCTTTCGCTTTTAAATTTTGTGAATAATTTGTTGTACCTCGACACTATACTTAGTAAAATAATCATTTTTCTATTACTAAACCCGATTCCTCATCTTCAGTTGTACTGAGAAACTTGAAAAATAAACGTAATCCTCTGTTTTTATTCTCTTTAACAAGGGGAAACAGATATATGGCATTATCATTCCACATCATTTCGGTTAATTGATCTAAAATGACTAGGTTCCTGTTCTGTACAACTTTCAACATCAGTCAATTTGTATGAATGATTTTGTAGGACTGAAACCTGGTCACAGTTCAAAAATCAAATTTCAAATTCTGTAAGGTGATACTTTATTTAACAAAAAGCAATAAGACTGTGAAAGTATTTGTTCATAGAATATAGACTGAAGGATTTAATTGAAGTTAAAGCAAAAATTTTGTGAGAAATAACTATCTGTTGACTTTTACAGTATATATATATGTGTTTCTTGAAGGGAATTAAGCATATGATGAAATAATGCGTTTCTACTTTGGTCAGTTCCATTGATTTATACAATTATTGTTAATGAATAGTAATCAAGCCTACAAGCAAATTTTCTTATCTTTTGGATTCTTTAGAAGTCGTAAGAAAATGTAAGTAATCACTAACTTGTTCAAAAGTTTTGACAGGCAGCTATCATATAGTCCAAAGATAGACTATTAGAATTCGCCCCTTTATCCTTAATTTGAGCATTTTATTGAGTTTTAAAAATTAACTTCACAGTTTCCTACTCATAAAATTACAGTTATCTGATAAACTGTCAGTTACTTCTATGAATTGTTCATGTTAATCAGGGTTCTAAATAATCAGCTTCAATAATTTCATTTAGGTTCTAGCAAACGCTGTGTGTTTCACGAAAGTTTGGATGGCTAATACCTGAAGTCACTGAGTGTTACTACTACTACTACTACTACTACTACTACTACTACTACTACTACTACTACTACTACTACTACTACTACTACTACTACTACTAATAATAATAATAATAATAATAATAATAACAGTAACAATAATAATTGGAAAGAGATTCAGTATTGTAGTATCTTTACCGTGACTGGTTGCTGAAAAACAGTCTTGTTCGTTGAGTGTATTCTATGTGCATTGGTCACCTGAAAACCATCAGTGAAGTTTATTGTTTCAAAATGAGAATTTAACTAAAATCGAGGAAGTATCATATTATGTCGTAGGAGAATAAATGCTAACCTCTGAGATAGTTTATGTCCATATGAACCTTCAATGATTTCAAATTTGATTGAAACAGGAGCAACTTTTAATGCTAGACTGTCAGAACATATATAGATAAGTGTTAGAGGGGAACCAGCGAATAACTTAAAAGTTGAATACTGAATGAATCCTAACATTTGGACACCTTCAGCTCCGCTTTGCAGTAGAACCTTGATAAATTTCACAACTACTGAGATGCTATTGGTCACCAAGTTATCATTCAGTCACATAACTTTTCACTTGTATTCGGGTTTAGTAATCACATCTGGGACTAGAGATGCCTCTGATGCGGTTTTATTTCATAGTCTGTGGATAAGAAAAGCTTACTACAATCACAGTAGTGACAGTGGATTTGACCCATTGAATTATGTCTATACCTCACAGTCAAATAAAAGTTTAATAAGCAGTTGATTACAATTATTCCCAGGTCACTGTTACCAGACCCCAAAAATTAAACACACTAACAGCTGGTATTATTTAACGAAAAATTTATTTCAGTGTCCTGCCTCTTTTTCGGAAGTTTTCCTTCCTGTTTTTGTCCTTCTCTAAAATGTTGCCAAACCATTACTTTATTCCTTTTAAAAGAGGTTTGATTGCTGCATCTTCCTTACCGTAAGTTAAACATAAGTTGTATGTTAGGTTTGAAATTGATGTAAATATTAACGTATGAATACCACATGCTCATGCTTAGAAGATACGAAAGTAACTAGTGAATTTTGTAGTAAGCATAGTTACCAAAATATTTTGCTATACCGTAATGGGTTCTGAATCGTCTATCAATGAGAAGACTAAGATAATGAAAGCTTTAGGTGATCATTTTTGTTACTGCGGTCAAATCCTGTCCAGAGAGGTGTGTGCTGGTGATGATTCTTGCACCTGTGCAACCAAATATTGCTCTACTAGCAGGATGGAATCACTCTAAATTGGAAACAATCAATCAACGTAAATAGCTAATCGGCTGTTAAGGGGTCCGGTAGCATTTTGTTAAGAAAGAGTTTTGAGATGCAAGACAATAATTCTCATTACCGTTGTAATGGTTCCGTTAAAATCTGATTTTAAATCTTTACAAAAGACACATTATGTAGCTTAAAACATGTTCAGCAACGAACTGAAACACTGTTTCTTTCTCCCAAGCAGTTCTGAAATAGAAACCTTGTGTTTTCCTCTGATTCAGTAATATTTAATAGTCATCATCAATTTGGTATTGAACTGCATCATTTCTGAAGTTCAAAGAGGTGTCATATATTCTTGCTTTGTATTTCTGTCATTTATATATCAATAAAACAGTAAAGTTACTTTTAGAAAACACAGACTGAAATCAAGATGGAACTATTCAATATAAGTCTTGAACTTAAGTGATGGTTCAGTCAAAACCTTTATTAGTAGGTTAAAAGGCAATGCAAAAGTCTGAATGATGGTTTGATGACAAAGTGATGGAGAAAATGTCTTAGTCTGTATGTTCCTCTATGATAGGATATCCGGCAAAATGTTTGTCTATATTTATTACTCGCTATCTCTTGAGTTAAAAGAAAACTTTTCTTTTACTAAATATTCTAAAGTTTGAGCAGAAGACGAGTGTAACTGAAAAAACCACGCCTGTAAGAGAATGCGAAACACAAAACCAACTTCAGGTATTCTTACAATGAGATTCATTTGCCAATCTACGGTCACCATAAATAGCTTAGTCAACATTTATCAATTTCATTCAGTTGATTTTCTTGGTAAATTTTAATAAAGTAGGGACGGATCTTGTTAAAGAAATAACATAAGCTCATTTCTTTTCACAGTCTAACCTATGTCTTGTCTTAGATCGAAGTGCATCATTGCATGCAATAAAAACCACATAACATATCCCGAATAGGTGGGACGAGATATTCACTGTAGTTCAGAATAAGAGTAGGACATTTTGCTGAGGAGGTGAATAACTGGTCTAAGGCAATATAAGTCAGTAGTCTTATATAAGCTACCTACATTCATCTGTAAGATCTGACTACAGTTCATTCAAAAATGCATTCGTAACACTTTAAAATAAATAGCTAACTGACTTGGATAACATAACTAATAAAAGTGGTGGAAAGCACTTTTGCATTTTAAAGGTCAATCCTCAAACCCACCAAAATACTAGAGCTGCTTCTTTGTTTCACACAAACTCTACATTTTAGGATAAAATGACTTTCATTTGAAAAATTTCCAAGTCACATTGACAAAGGTGACGCTCTTTATAGTCATATGTCTTTGAATGTTACTGCTTGTATTATACCGTCGTTGATTGGACCGAATTAATCAGTCTCTGTTGGCATATGGGCTCTTGTGTGGATGCCTCGATATTGCCTGTGTTTTAATTATGTATAGTAATGATGGATAGTGGCTAGCAGTGGAATCCAGGATACGCATTTCGTCCTATTCGGGAGTTAAAAAAAATAAAGTTGCGATAGGCTTCCGATCGAGACGGTGTGTATTGATCATGCGTTTTGGTATCTGCCACAAAATGGGGAACAAATCAGAAAAATACACCCTTGAACAATAAGGCAATGGGGAACTACACTTCTCATCTACGTAGTTTGACAGTTTCCTGATATCAGGGGGATGGGTATTATTTTGCATCGTAGTGTACTGAAGAGGCTATCTTCACTGAGTCGTAAATTCAAACAGGTTGACATTTTTTGAAGGACTGAAATTTATAAAAGATGCCAGAATCACCTTGAACATAGTAAGTCTTTCTGGATTTAATGTCTACACTAGATTTTCCAGTATCATTAGGAAATTGTGAATGCTGAGAGTGAGTAATTTCGTTCAAAGTTTATTTTTGCATTTTAATCATAGAGTAGCTTTCGGAGTCCTCGGGTGAGAAATTTATATTTAGAAATTCTAGTTTCAAAGTTTTCAATTTTGTGATGAATTTAACTTCTTGACTTTCATTAGATGCTGTTCACGAGCCTCAGCGTTGAGATATTTGCAGAGTATTATCTTCTTCAATCCTACTTCTTACAATAGTTTACCTATTACGAACGCGCCTATAGATGATAATCATCATAATATCTAGCTGACAAGTGACAATATTCACAATTTTGTATGATGTATGTACACCTGGAAAAAGTCACATAAATTTTAGTATTTTTGATAAGATGTTTATTTGAAGTCGGTAGTTAGTATGATGGGTGAAGGCGTAATTTCCTTCGATTTCGGCGCATATTTTTCGAAATCCTGACAATGAAAATGTATTTCAAAGCAATACACTTGACTCAACAACCTGGACATCAATGTCACCTGCAGCTGCAGGCAAGCCACTGTTCATAAATTAAAGACATTCACTTGACATAAGATGAACTCTTAGCAAATTCAATGTATGTAGTGCTTATATTCACTATTCATGCAAGATTCTTTCTTGCGAAAACGGTTAGGAAGACGAAGACATCGAAACAATGAAGGGTTAAAAACTATACACGCTAGAATTTGGTTAAATAAAGCGTGAAACACCTTGTTTTCAATGTTTAAAAAGGTCCAGATCGCCTTCTGGAATCGCTATAGGTAGAATAACGAAGAAAGTTAAGGAAAACGTTATCGACAAAGTAGACTGCAGGAAGAGAGAAAATTAATAAATCAGACAGAGTGTTCACCGTCTTCGTACCCGTCCAAATGAACGAAAAATAGCGGTGAAGCATCATGACATACCTTCATGTCAGTGCATATAGACAATTTTGGACATGAATTCAACTGGGAAAAACGTGGAAATCCTGGATGGAGGAAATAGAAAGAACATGAAAGAATTTCCAGAAGTTTGCCATTCAAATCACTCAGCAATCAACAGATAAATTGACATTAACCTAGTCTATCAATCAATAAGAAACACAAAAAGCAACATAAGGGTCAAAGTTCACGTCGACAAGACAACCAATCGAAATACTTACGTAGGCGGTGAGATTTCAGTAGAAAGAAGCAATCACTTCCAAAATTGTCAAGATAAGGTAATAGGCCAATTGTAGAGATGGTATAGCTAACGTCTTTTTGAAGTTTCTGCCGATCATGTTGTCTAGAATATGTTCAGACATACTATTTTAACAAGACTTAGTAGTTACTTAAACCGCACTAAATAATGTTCTTGATAAAATGCATAAAAAGATCTCAGCAAAAATTTAGACAACTTATTGATGTTTCAGTCTTACTTTCGTACAAATTATTCGACTGATTTTCTTCACACCGATTCATTCACTATAATGATAGGACTGATCTTGGCAACTCAGGCTTTAATCACTAAACTCTAAAATAATTATAATTACACAACTTTCTACGTAGTTAATATTTAAGTACTTGCTCCAAAAATGTGTTTGCACGGCTCAAAACACTCCATAATGAAATTCTTCACATTAACAATATATTTTTGTGAGATCATTTGTCACCACAATTCACACCAGTCAAGCGTTCTGAATTTAGACAACTCCATTAGATAACAACTTCATTAGAGTCGACTATGCCATACATAGCAGAGAGGACAATTCGAACGCAGCTTCAAGAGGTATGGGATGCAGAGAGCTTATTGTTTACAAAACTAAGATTCTCATGCGTTTACTATATATCTTATTTCATTTTGAGAATTCTAAAGAGGATTTATTACGTCCAAGCAGTATATACATTAATGTTTAAATGAAACCACAGTAAGAGAAAAAGTTAAGTCTTCTTGTTAGAAGTGGAAATCGCCGTCAAGAAGAAGCTATTTCAGGCTGATATTTGTTCATTTTCGCTTTCATACTTAACGAATTCATCTAAATTAGGTCTACATTAAGGAAACAGAACCAAGTTACATTAGTCGTCAGAATTAAACTAGAGTCGTAGAAATGAGGATATCTAACAGAAAAAGAATTAAAATTTTATTATAAAATGAGTTACCACAAGTTTAATTCTTCGTACGGTTTGGTTCATATTGGCATCCTATTGGATTCTTTCAATTGTTTCGCATTAACTTAGGTGAAATGAAGGTAGAAGATATTAGAAATGAAGCAGACGAAGTTCTTGCTTGACTTAATCAATATGCTTTCTGATAGTCTTAATTAAATTGTATTGGCAACTTCGGATAAACTCCTAGTGCCTAAAATATGAAAGTTTGTTCACACATTGTCCATATCTAAGATTTCGCGGTTAATCTCATTAGACTAAGCGGAAAGCCAGAATAACACCGATATAAAAGCATCAGTAGACAAAGATTTACCAACTGTGTTTAGATTCAAATTAGGATTATGGTAGTATACTTCAAACAGTTTGCTGGATTACTTTCTTAAAACGACTAATAACTCCATTAGTTTTATATATATATATATATATATATATATATATATATAAAATGACTGAAGTGGTCTTACCTTGACTGAATCCAAAACTGGCGTCTAAATAATAAGATATTTAATATTTCCTAGATGTTTCATACAGTGAAACAGTATTATTTACGGGATTAGGTTGACGTTAGAACACAAACACAGTTTCTTTACAAATGTAAATTCAGTAGTCAACGCAATCCAGATCATCTATGAATTAGAAAATAGTGATGGTGGATTGCAGAATAAAACAAAAACAAGATGAGAGTTTAGACACCAGCGTCTACAGAAAATCTGCACACTCAAATCGTTACTTAGGCTTCAAATCCTTTCATCATCTATCAGTTAAAGTTGGCTTGGTAAAATGTCCAGAAAACCCGCTAGTAAAACAGATCTAAGGGAAGCAACTAGATACATTAAGGAGACCGTACTCATCAACAATTACCCTCCCAAGCTGATTAGTGAGTCTCTCAGTAATTGAAAGAAAAATATGGCTAACAGTTATAATACAGGTGTTAATAGTAGTGATAATAACAGTGGCAACAGTGCTGTGAAGACAGCATTCAAAACCTGTACACTATTGTTATGCAAGGAGGGCACGCCACAAACATTACGTAGAATTCTCAGGAAAGCTGGGACCAGACTGGCATTTAAACCTACAGACTCAACTAGAAATAAGTTTTGTAGGTAAAGATTCTACTGACCTAATTAGCCAGAATAATTTATTTTACTAAATGTCTTGTAATGATGGCAAGGTCAAATACATTGGTCAAAGTAGTCAATTAGGGTAAGTGAGGTTATATGAGCACAAAAATCTAGCAAGGTCAAAACTGGTAAGTCCTAGCAGGATAAGTAACTCAGAAAGAAGTTTGACCAAAGCTACGCGTGTAGCTACACACAACCACACGGTAGGATGAGACAAAGTGATAATGCTTAAAACTAACCTAACGGGGGAAGAGAGAAAGATACAGATACCCGAATCTTTCTTAATCGAGTCAAAACCTAATACTTACAACAGGAATGACTCACCGCCTGTTCCGGATAGATGTAAAATCCTACTACCTACATCACAAAGAAGGCTAGAAAATTAGAACTATATAAACCATATCGAAAAGTTGCATAGTTATGTTGATATGACAATGGATAATAAATTATGTCCGAAATATGACCCAGTAAATAATACTGTCCCGCTATGTGATACATCTAATAAATCAACTAAGATGGGATTACATCCTACCACAGTACCTAAGTTTTACTCTTATATTGCAGATATTTATTGGTTATGAGATCTGACAATCATGGAATGGATTCCATACTCACTTGTGGCTTAGCTGTGGTCAGTAACCTTAAAGGTGGACAAACCAGCCGTTTGGTTACCATACGTCTTATGGATTCCATGATTTCTATGTAACTCTTATGAAGATGGTTGTGAAGTAAAACATTTCCATTTATATCATTTGAGTGAATATTTATGTCAGTGATATTACAATTTTGATGACTACCAACACATTACTCGCTAGTCATGTATAAAGCTATCCTTCTGTATATTATTGTAACCACTTAGACGCTTCATTCACCTCTAGTTAGTTAAATGCTGCAAACGGACATGAATGGAGTAAAGAATGTTTTAATTTTTAGTGAAATGATGGCACAAATTCTGTAAGTTTAATGTTTTTAAGTCTAGTAATGCCTAAGAAGTATTACTAGTAGAAGGTGAATAGACTGGTTACTGAATAAAAAACAGGTTTGTAACAGCACTGTTTATATCAGAAGTCACCGAAGTTCACAGTTAAGTTTAAAGTATTCAAAGCCTCCATTTAATTCACCTATTTAATTGAGTCAAGTTAGTTTTATCACTCTCACTTTAGAGGAATTACTAGGAAAGAAGACATTGTTTTCATGTTTACTAATACAAAACTAATACATTCTTCTCTTTGCTAATCCAAAGTCATTTCACCCACAAATATTATCACCTTATTTTCTAGTCTGATGAACTCAAACTAATAGTGTCCACTATCTTTTAATATGTACACAAAACCCTGGAATGCATAAATTCTTAAGGGCATGTGAGCAAGAATACTATTTATCTCACTGTAGTTTAAATAAGGCATATCGTCATGCAGTACAATAAAATTTCTAAATAATTGATTTAACCAAGAATAACAAAACAGATATCACTGTTGAATCCATTTTTTTCAGTATGAATTCTTCGGTTCGCTTCTAGTGAAGTGAACAGTAATCAGATGACATATTCTACTAGGTAACATAAAATGTAGAGAATTTCTTTTCCGCCATATTGGAAGTTAAATTTTAAACTTTCAGTAACTGTAACATGAGATATCTAATATCAAGCTAAAACTGAAAAGATTTACAGAGTGCATATAATTTATCAGAGTTATTCATAAGTTGATTAAATGAAAAAGATTGATTGAAGTTATTTACTAATATCGCTTAACCTTCTCGATGAGCAATAGATTTGAAGTAAATTTGCGTTATTTAGAACTTTTAAAGACGATGAATGCTGTTGAAGTTTCTAACCGATATTCTAATCTCCAGAAATACTGTGTTAACCAGCAAGATTTCATCTATTAGTGACGACAACTTCGTCAAGAATAACCAAGATTCTTTCAAAGGTTTTAAATTTTTCATTTTTCTTGTCTTAACTACTAAGCATTTATACTATATCCTATACCATTCATGAAGTTGGCTAGTCAAGTGCGTCAGTTTCATGCATTTCACAAATGTGTACCATTATGCACTTAAGAAAAATATGATTGACCCGCCGGTATTTTTAATGTTATCACTATTGCCAAACTGCCTAAAATTGCCGTATCGTCCTTTGCTATAATTGGCATGGTAAAATGATACTAGTTACGATACTGTGATGTGTGTTACTCATAAAAATACAAGTAAGTAACATTTAGCAAGTAGAGTAATCATCCAGTCAAGAAAACTTCTCAAGGATGAAATAGGAAACTTAGGGAGGAAGTACTGAAGAGAAATGAATTGGCAATGAAAATTAAAGATCAACTTATCTTCATTGTAGAATGCAGAGATAACTACCAAATAGACAATTTCAGCAGTCCATGCCTGTTCGGATTCTCCAGTGGAATTTCATGCATGAAACAGGTGAAGAGAAATAGACTTGACTGTACTTAAAACTAAACAATTGTTTATGTAAAGAAGAGATTTATGCTAAAATCCTTGACCCAAAAGTGTTTATCTTCTCCATTGTTTGAATGGCTGTCAGTGATGAACCTTTTTGAAAATAATAAAAACAATTTTCAACTTGTTTGACGAAAACCTGCTTTCCGTTTCATTTATCCACACTCATCTGAAATATATTTTATAAATTACCTTTGTTTTTCAGGCACTACATAGCCAGTTAAATGGGAAAAGCTTCACACTATGCATCGACTGTATGATCTGTAAACTAAAATTAATTTTAACTACTGTCCAGTACATAATAAAAAGCTTAGCGATTAAATATTTCTATTTTTTTCAAGAGTTAATTTTTATTAGTTTTCTACTGGATGCATGAGATAATTGGGGGGGGGGGAAGGTGAATGCTTTGCCTACTAGTTTCATAGTTTATATTGGCTTGTACGGAAAGTATTTCTTAGTTGTTCCTTCAGTGTTTTGCATGAAGAACTTCAGTTAATGTGACGTTTTAATCAGCTACAGAATTCTAAAAATATATGAATAGGTATTGAAAGTACCTTTCTTCGGAGAAAATGTCTTATCAACAAAAGCACCGGAAACCTACACATATGCAACCAAAAGAAACGAATGAAAGCCGTTAATGGATGAAGTCGTGTACACTCATTTATTTCTAACACCATATGATGATGTAGGTTACGAGCTTTGAAATGCGACGGTGAAAAAAGGACTATAAATGATCGGATGCTTAACTTTATCATCGATAGAGGCATGAGTTTAAAGACGTATTTAAGGCTAATTGTAAAGTAATTTCTTGGAAACATAAAAATAACCACATTTAAAATGTGAATTCTCATGTGAGTACATGAATTGGTAATGAAACTGTGGGTAGCTGGTTAAGCCACCTGACTACTAGTGAGTGAGTTATGAGTTTGAACCCAGCTCCACCTACTAAGGTTCGGGCATCCATTAGGTATCATTAGCTCTCACATGATAAGTATGGGTGATCGCTCACTGCAAATAAGTACAAGCATTTATTGAATACAATTCAATATGAATTTTAAAATCAGTCGTTTTGTTTGTTATAATAAAGTGTAGGAGATGACGTCTTCTAGAAAGACGATGAAAGCTCCACGATCAAACAACCCAGCTCAGAGAACACAATACAACCAAGATAATATGTCTTGCTTCATGTTCATGCCGTCATTGGTATCTTTGGAGATACTCTAGCTGTTTCATGTGATCTTGAACTCATCTTTGAATAGACTTAAAGACCTTCATGGTGAAACCTTACATCTTGATCAGGAGCTTGGAATTCGATGTAATATCACATCATGAATGAAACTGTTATACACATTTTTCTAATTTAGATAGTCAACTATCCCGTTTTTATGCATAGGAAGTGTGTTTTTTCTTGAAAATTCCATGTGAGTATCTTTCACAGTGTCTTAAGACTGAATTTGGATCTCTTTCGGTGTCCAGCTGCCATTAGTATCAGAGTGCTCAATGTAAAGTGAACTAGTGACAATTTTAGTTGAATAGACTTAAGTGTTTCTAGTGAAAGCCCATAATGGTGTTTGCCAGAAAATATAAAATGTAAGGAATGCAAGCCTTCATGAACTCCACTTTTGCAAAGTGTAAGACATTGTACGAGGGGATACTCTTACTTCGAAAATGAAGATAAACGTGAAAACACAAATGAGGAAAAGATTATGGTTTTTACTTTAAAAAGTCAACCCGAATTCCAGCGCCTGGCACTATGAAGTATCATGCCTTCTCTCACTAGACAATTTTCAACCAACAAAATAGATTTACATAAATTGCCAACAAAATTTCGACAATCCAATTCAGAAAAAGTTAAACATAGTCCCTTAAGTTTAAGCTTACATTTCTCATATTACGTCTTACTTGCGGTGTTCAATCTCCATTTTTAGGTGCTAACCCTATCATCTTTTAGAGGTTAATTTATGGAGCCCGAAAAACGTGATCCCCTTTATAATACTGTGAATAGTTTCATAAGATCTCTCTTGGCTGCAGAACAAGCAGCTGATAAAGGTTAATCAAATTGAAGACAAACCACTATGCCAACAAAGGTGAACAGTTAAAATGTCTTGTAGATTTCCGTAATTTTTTGAACCAAAATGGTCAGCCACTGTTGTTATACGGGCTGGTGTATGAATACCTGCTAATTGGTAATATTGGTGAATAGTGATTAGCAGTATTATATTAAAATAAATTGAAATATGGAGACAACCTCGTGACAGTTCATACTATGATAAAGGTTAGTCAAGTCGATTTAATCAACTACTGGAAACTAACATCAAAGTGTGCATGTCATGCAAGGTGTGCCTACTGTGACTTATTAGCCTAGTTGGTATCGCTGATGCATTTCCAATTAATTGTACTGAATTTGACTTTCAGTGGGAACAGCATCTTTCACTGGGAGGCAGGTACATTCGGCACATGAATGATAGATGTGAAAAAACTTGTTTTTAATAATAATTTCCATAATTCTTTTATTTTTGGGGTTAATGAATTATCGATTAAATTCTGTTAAAAATCTCAGGTGCAGTTATTTTGATTTCAATAACTCAGGGATAAACAGACAAAGAAAACTGAAATGATTAGTATCTGTGTTATCTTCTAGTTTTACTAAGTGGTAAAAGTTCTGTTATATTCATGCAAAGCGAATTAAAATAAGCATAGTTTAAGCAGGTGTAAAACATGGGCACTATGGTAGAAATTATTTCCTTATTAGATCTGTTTATTTTATATATATCAAAGTGATTCAGTATTATTTGTGAAATGTACCCCATCAGGAAATAAAACAAGAAAAAGTATTTCAGCAGAGAGTCTTTTGTCAACAACTTCGCTTTCAAAGCTATACAATCACGAATTTATACATTTTTCTAGTGTGAGGATTTGATAGTTAAAAACGGTTTGTCAAGCATGGCAACAATTGGAAACTAAATCGTGATCAGATAGAGCATAGATAGCAACAAGAATCAGTAGTAAATTACTTAATAAGTGAATAATGTCAAAAGAGAAAAATGAAAAGAAAAATGGGGGAGGGGGTGTAGAGGAGGCTGAAAACTAAGACATTGACAGGAGAAGGGATTGAATAATCTTCTTTTGCGTACACAGTTTGGGTTTCTCTACATGGATGGCAAGAGCTTGTGCAATGTAGAGAATACGAAGACAGTATTTGGAAGGTTTTCTTTTCACTTTATAAATGATTTGATTTACAACACACAGTAATACAGTATTATTTGCTTGATGACTTTTCGAGCATAAATTATTGCTTGTAATCATTATGATCAGTAAATCAAGTAAGGAAATTTAATACGGAATAGTCTAAGCAGACAGATATTCACTGGGAAGATATGCCCACTGTTATAGGTTTTTCCTTTACGTACTCAGACAAAATAATCTTACTGCGAACGTTCATTTGTTATATTTTGGAGATATATGTTATAAAGGTAAGAAAGCTTTGACTTCCGAATTGTCTTTAGGATTCATTTTAGTCACAGATAAGGTAGATAAATATGCGGAACAAGAGTCAACAGTAGAATCCGCTTCAACAAATAATACTCCTGTTTATGGTCATAAGACATATATAGATTTTGAATAATGTACTGGGGCAGACATATAATGAATTAAAAATCTTGCTTTTTCTTCCTCTTCCTATCCCATCTCATGAAGTTGGTCTATCCACTGATCTGTTCTTAGAATTTTATGTACATAGAATTCCGTATTAGCTGAAAATTTCCGGTTGAATTATCTTGGTTTTTGATATCCCCTGAATGTTCATTTGAAATATTGGTCAAATCAAACATATTTTTAAGTGTATTGTATACTGGTCGCTTTTCAATCACTGAAGAAGAACGAACTAAGGAATAAATCGTCCTGAACGGATTTTTAGTCTATGGACAATATCTTTAGCTTAATTCTTATATTGCATCTTATCATCACTACACTATATAGCAGCTTAAGATGTTCATTTCACTCTGTTACCATTTAACATAATATGCATGCTAATTTCCTTCAAAAAATGATTAAACGGTTACCCTTGTTTTTAATTTCTTTAGTTACTTGAATTTTCAGGATATATGAAAGGCAGTGAGACAACATATGGTATATCATCAGGTTAAGTGTATGTTTTGACAAGCAGATTAATTTTAATATGCTTTTTAAATAGTATAGAGTTGTAGGCATGCTCACTCTTATTCTGACCCAAATGTAAAACAAAGAAACCAGTATTTCCAATAATAAACAACAATGATCGAAATTCTATTGATTTTATGGAAGATGTTACTACCTGTTTTGTGTACAGTTTAATCTTCCTAAAGTGGCTGAAGGTATGGATGAATTAGTTACACAGGTCATAGAAGTGACTTTGTGAAGATATTTTTACATGACATCATAAAAGTGCTAATTTTTCAAAAGCTATATTGATTTCAAATGAACCTCATCTACTGCTACTCAAAGGTGTAGGCAATAAATAACTCTCAAATCTTAAGTCCGTTAGGCTGAGCTGCAAATGCAGTAAACCAAATTCTTGTCATTTGGTAACTAATATTTGCAGGAAATTTGTACGTGAATAAATGAAGAATGGAGTCAAAACATCACATCTATTTTATTACAATTATACTAAAGTGATAGGTGGTTGGAATATTGACTGGGTTGTTGATGTTCTTATAGAGTTAGCAAAAGACTTTCATTGACAGGTATTTTTATTATCATCAAGAAGATACACTTTTTTTGTCTACAATCCATCATTATTATTTTTAAGTAGTGAAAGCATATTCTGAGCTTAGTCTCAACACTAAGACCAGATAGGATAGCAACATAAAGACCGCTAAGAATCTACACTGTTGATGCATATTACAACAGAGTATGCAGATATTGACCTTAGCGTCAACTTAAAGCTTTTAATTTCCAGTGTTAAACAACTACGAAGAAAAAAGACATTAGTCCCTAGGATATTTTATCACCTAAAACAGCTGGAGGAATTAATTTTCTGAAATGATGCAAGGGCTCAAACTGTATGTAAAACTAGCTAACTAGTAGTGTTACCAGAATTAGAAAATGCAGATTATCAAGGATTTTGGGCGACATCAAATATGACTATACTTGTCGAGACGGTGTTATTCTACACTAAAATGTCCGATCTCATGGTGCTTAATACTGGTGTATCAACTAAGAAATAAAACTTATAGTATCCAGTACACGAAGGGAGTTATGTGGGTTCTTTTCAAGCTCAGCTTTTGTTAAAGTCAAGAACTGAAAACTGTACGCAGCTAACATCTTACGACCAGCTAAAAG